TGATACCACCATGGTGTGCATCTCCCTTTTTAAATAGTAGAAAAAGGTTTTTAGAAATAAAGATATGGGCTGTTAATTGTTTCATACAAAAGGAAATGGCCAAATTTAAATGAAAACTTGCCACAAATGCAGCTGTAATTAACGAATGAATCATCCACATGTCAAATCAGGCTGATATATTCAGCATCCTTTTTGGACATTTTTGAGCATTGAAATTGTTCATAACAAGATCTCCCTAAATAAAGTTAATTTCATCTCACACACACACACACACACACACACACACACACACACACACACACACACACACACACACACACACACACACACACACACGCATCATAATCCACAGTGCACTCCAACACCAGAGAAATGTCACACCTCCTAAAATCTGTCCTTTATGAATGGGCCAGGACACCAGAGCTAATGTGACATGATTTGGCACGTGCAATAAGTGCTAAACTAATCCAGTCTAATCTAATTTAATCGTATTTATTCTGTCCCCCACCACTCTGCCTCCCCCAGTCCCCAATCAGAGTCTGATCAGATAGACAGAAGCCCCGAGGACTGACCAGCCCTCCACAACCTAATTACATCACATCACCACTGCATGTGGCACACAGCTTGTAATTACATTAGTGCAGTGTATGTTATATATATATATATGTGTGTGTGTGTGTGTGTGTGTGTGTGTGTGTGTCTATGTGTGTGTGTGTTTGCGTGTTTGCATGTGTGCGTCTGTCTGCATGCTGTGACTTGGGACCAGCTCCGCCTGTGTGATATGACAACAGCTCATGACCTGTCGTTAATAAGCACACTTCACAGGACAGCGATGATATGGATTAATGCTGCTTCATGACACGTCCGCAGGGACTAATGTCCTCTGCCGCTGCCATGAGCTGTTTTGTCTCCTATCAACTCTAACCTACGCTGTAGTTCAAGCAGGTCCGTCTGTACTGCTGAACTTCGTGTGGAGGAATGCCTTTGTCGAACATACAGTTACGGAATAACCACTAAACAGACCAGCTCATGTATGAGGGATTTAAGAGAATTTGTTTTTGTCTTTGGTCCAGACCTGTCGTACAAGTCACGTACAGATAGTCTGTCTCTGGTTATAAGGAGAAAAACGTGAGTAAGAATCATGATAATGACTTTTTTCCCCAAATACCTTACAGAGTTTTACAGTGACAAGATATATAAAAAAAAAAACTACAAACAAAACAAGACAGTTTACAGAAGAAGATTACAAAAATGTCACAATGTTATCATCTCGGGAGCTGGGTAAAATAGCATGGACAGGTGAGCTGAGTTAAACACCCCACCCACTCATGTATCCAGGCAAGTCAGAGTCCCTGTGGATTTGGGGTAATTTAGCACTGTGCTAAGAAAGGTCCCCATACCCTCTCAAATCTATTCTGTATGTTGGGTCAGTACAGACGCAGTTTTTCCATTTGTATAACAGACATCTCCTTGAGCCGGAGGGAGTGGTACACTTCCAGATCATGAGAAAAAGTTTCTTAGCAACCACCATATCAAAGTGCAGAGCAATCTGTGTGCCATATGGCATAAAGTTAAATGTGTCACAGAAATCTACTAACCAAAAAAATAAAAACAAAACTGCAAAAATAATATTTTACCATTATGGACTATTTTGTTTTAGAAAGACATTTTGGTATCTAACGTCGTGTGGGGACAGACAGCTATGGCTCAGGAGCTAGAGCAGGTCATCCATTAATTGCAGGGTTGGTGATTTGATCCCCGGCTCCTCCTGTCTGCAGGTCAAAGTCTCCTTTGAGCAAGATTGCAAGATACTTCAGTCCAAATTGCTTATGGCAGGCAGGCCAGTGCCTTTCATGGCAGCTCCACCACTATTAGTGTGTGTGTGTGTGTGTGTGTGTGTGTGTGTGTGTGTGTGTGTATGTGTGAATGAGAGGCTAAATTTGTCCACTAAAATAGAAGAGCACATATAAATGCACTACATTTACCATGTCAGACCATTCCCTCTGTTTCTACCACAGTACATCGCTGCTCTGATAAAGTTGTTGACAGCCGTTCTATTGATATTTCCTTACAGTTTCAGGTCCCCTTATATAACTACTGACACTGCTAAAGTTATCTTTTGATTATTTCCAACCAGGCGATTAATCTCTGTGGTGTAAATGTTTACTCTGGCCCTTGAGTAACATTTTTGTGAATGAGAATTCAACAGGAACAGGTAGCCCTGTAAAGCAATTTATAGATTATGATTAAATCTCAAACGTGCACCTACTCATGAATGAGTGGCACCCATCGGGCTCAAATGTTCACTTATATGAACAAGCCTCACAGAAAAAAAGATAGCATACAAACATGTTCTTGCATGATGTCCAATGTGTGTTTCTGTTTGTGTTTTCCAGTATCCCTGGCAAGCTGAGACAGTTTGTGCTGGACCTTCACTCTGGAAAGCTACACAGAGAGTTTCACCATGGTCCTGACCCCACGGACAGCACGCCTGGACAGGTCAGACGGCGGCATCAGCATGCACTACAAAGTCACTGAAAGCTGGTTTTGTTATATACAATGTGACACATGACTGAATTTGACTTTTACCCTCAGGAGGAGACGGGAGGAGAGGTGGCCAGCAGCCCTCCGGAGAGCTCATTCCAGAAACTGGCGCCCAGCGAGACTCGCTACACCATACTCAGTCGGGACCGCGACGAGCTGTGACCTCAACAGCCTGCCAATGATCCTGAGACTCAATGCCACGCCCCGGGGTCAGGGAGGGGGTTAGGGTTGGGACAGGCCAGCGGGACAGAACAGCAACACCCAACACCCTTACTGAAGAGAGAGAGAGAGATGAAGAGGAGGAGGAAGAAGGAGGAGAAAAAGTAGAACAGAAGGAGTACAGTCCACGACACAACCATGTTGGAATAACCTATATTTTCATAACTCTTTCACGTACAATTTTTATTTTGGATCAAAAGGAAGTGGGATAAAGAAGAAAATGTGTGTGGGCAGGGGTTAGGGGCATTAGGACATCAAGAGAAGTGTTTTTACTTTTATTTTTTGGAGCTTGTAAATATGTTTGTGCTACATGGGAGTCTCATTGTTGGTCTAAATTAAATGCAGAGTTTTCTTTATTTTATTCCTTTCTTTTTCATCACCTGGCTTTTTGTAGAAAAAGAACAACCCAGAACAGTTCCCTCACTCCAGTCGTATGGTTCTTATCTGTGGGTAGTCCAGTTCAGCCTGTCTGATAGGAGACGCTTGTTTAGTCTCACCGGCCTCATGGCTGCATCTCAATATGACCAACTCTAGTCTAATTCATTTGTATAGCACAAGTCGTAACAATATGCCTGTTTGAAGTAGCTTTATCTCCATATCTTCTCCACACACACTCGGCGTTCTGAAGGAATAGAAAAATATTTTGAAATACTTGGTAGGAGTAACGTAATTTCAAACGTGACTTGAGACAGAAGATAAAGAGACAGAGCTACTCCAGCCTATTGATATGCACCCCCTCTCTCCCTGGTACTAAATGGTTATAGATTATGATGTCTCTTACAGTGCTTATAAAAACTATTGCCCCTTTTGGAACTTTTTATGTGTTACTGTTTTATAACACTGAATCACAGTGGATTGTAATTAGGATTTTTTTTTTTTTCAGCAATCAACAGAAAATACTATAATGACAAAGTGAACGAGCCTTTGGCCGTTGTACTAAATTCTGTGTTTAGTATAGGTCTAACACAAAAAAAACACACAATCCCCATCATGAAGCCTGGTGGTGGCAGTATCATGCTGTGTGGAGGCTTCTCTGCAGCGGGCTCTGGACGGCTCGTGATAGAAGGTTAAATTGATGCAGCAGGTTAAAGAGAAATCCTGGTGCAAACGTACAACTATAGATTTATATTTTATAGTAAGACAACCCCAAACATAAAGCCAAATGTACACAGGAATGGCTTGAAAACAACCATGTGAATGCCCTGGAAGTCAGTGTCCAGACCTAAGAAAAATCCAGCATTTGTGTTAGGACTTGATAATTGTTATTCACTCAAAGTATGAGAGTGTAACTGACCGAAGTAGCTTGAAAGGGAAAGATGTCCAGCTGTGTAAAGCTGTTACAGGCCCGCTGATGTAGACATGAGGCTGTAACTGTTGCCAAAGGTGCCTCTATTAAGTATTGTCTTGAAGGACAGTAATACTTGTGCAATCAGAAATGTTGTTAATTTTAGAAAAGACCAATCTGTAGAAATCTGAAAATGTTTCTTTCTGTTCAGTGTCTAAAAGGCCGATTACCTCCACTACTAAAACAGTAAAACATTAAAAAGTCAAAACGGGCTGGATACCTTTTTAAAGGCGCGGTATTTGCCGTAAAACCTCTGAGTGGTTATCCCGGGAATCAATTAGGAGGGGAAAAAAATTATTTGAAATGGGGAACTTGAACATGATTATGACATTTATGAAATGGCTGTTGTTTTTGCTGTTACCTGTTGTCAAATGTGTCATCATGCTGGGGGAGAAAAGACTGCGTCCTTCCCAGTGTTTTAAAAAGCCGAGAGACAAGAGGGGGAAAACCCATGTGATAAACGGTGGAAATTTACAGTCTGCCACTTTATACGAGTTCTCTTAAAACTGGTTTTGTCTCTTTATATGTCTTTGAGGTTTTGGTACAAGTCTAAATCCCTGAGATCCACTGAGCGTGAATGAATCCAAAAGTGGAAGACAGATTAAGGATATGGGGGACCCATTGCTAAGTTTGTACTGTGCGTCCTGCCCTTCCATAGAAGCCAACAGATGCCTAGTGACATATCAGCCCACATACAGGAGAGCAACAGGGGGGGAATGTGATACCATTTCTAAACCAGTCATCTCAGAGGGGAAGAAGAGTAAAAAAATGAAAAAGTAAATTAAAAACCATTTTACAGGATATTGTGTTGTCTGATGCTTTGTATGTCAGTCTGTCTGAACTTCACTGGTGTCATTTACCCGTTCTGTTTATCCAATGAATGACGATACTGTTGAAAAGAAACATTTTATTTGGCAGAAAACCAGCAGAAGTATAATTGATACATGGCAGGTTCTCGGTCCCTGCAGTGATGGACAGTGGCACTTTGGCGGGTTTTTTTGTGCAATTTTGCTCTCTCACATCTATATACAGTATAATTTATATAAACATTTAAGCAGGACCACTTTCATTTACATTATTACATAAATGTAACACCACAGTGACGTTAGACAAAAAACATTTTCTCTAAACATTCTTCTGGTTCACATTAGGATATTATTTTCTGCATAAAGGAACATTGAGGCATGATTACTGGTTAACTTAAAAACCCTGTCGAAAAAGAATAATCTGAAAAAAAATGCAAGCCTGACTAATACGACCGTGTTCTTCTTAGCTATAGCATTTGACAGAACGGTTGTGTCTTAAACTGACTTAATTCATTTGGTGCCAAAGATTTCATTTAGCAACAAGATGGGCTCACAACCATATCAGACTGACCCAAGCACACACTAAAAGCTGTAGTGTAAATTACTGCTTAGATGCGTTCAAAATAAAAAAAAACATTTGCATGTATAAAATTAGATTAATGTTCTCACAGAAACACCAGTCACCCCAACATCAAAGTATGTGACTCTGAAGTAAGGCTGTTATTATGTAACTGTTTTACAACAGTGCTTGGTAACCACAAAGCTTATATATCGAGTCTCTTCAAGCCAATGTGAGCACCGCCGAAGGTCTAGTTGGTACTTCTCATTGTTCAGTAAACAGTGACGCCTCAGTGATTAACCGCCACCTGAGGTCAAAGAATTAACCAGAACTGTTGGGTCATTTGTCCTTGTTCGACTCTGGTTCAGCTGGTGGTGCTGTCAGTTGTTTCATCTGTAGATCAACTCGGGCTTTGCGGTGTTTCTGGACCAGGTTGCCTCCCGCAAACCCTAGGGCGCCCCCTCCCAGAGCGGCAGCCACCCCAGCAACTTTGAAGCCAGCCAGCAGGCCGAGTGGACCTCCTAATACACCGCCCAGCAGCGCCCCAGCAACGGGCAACACCGCCATTTTGTAGCCCACCGCCTAGAGAGACAGGAAGAAGAGATATGTTCTAGTTTAATTTAACACCCACACCCCCCCCCACACACACACACACCTTTGGAGGCATTAAGACTTTGGGCTTCAAGACAGTCTCCGATAGAGTTTGGATGTGTCTATCCTTTCATGATCATACATCGACCCACGGAAAGAGGACGCAAACACGCCTGCAAATGTAAATCGACACTTCCATAGCTGCATCAAAGCTTTTTCATTATCTTCATTTAGGGGAAATCAGAGAGATGTGGCCTGTGTGTTATTACGGCTGTTATCATCAGAGTGGAAGGTGCTCTTTGCTGATGACAATTAATGACACGCACACACGGCCAGGGACACACATTTGATTAACACTTCACCATTAAATTAATCTAGTTCAAAAGCTAGCATTGCATGTCCCCACCCCTGTGGCAGTAGAGGGAATTTTAATTTCATCTGAGCCGAGTTAAAAGGACTCTGGGCACAGGTTGTAAAGGATGGAAGGGAAATGTTGGTGTTGTGTGACTGTGTGTCTGTGTGTGTGTGTGTGTGTGTGTGTGTGTGTGTGTGTGTGTGTGTGTTCAATGTTGTTTGACCTGATGACAGATTACAAGCTTTCAAACACGTTAAAACATCTGACATCCCTCTCATCTGCTTTATCTCTCCACACCCCCCTCGTCTAATGCGCAGCCCACTACGTCTAGCAGCAACCTTACAGAGAGGTCAACCTTTGTTTGTGCCACCATTTGGGTGAATTTAATTTAAATTAAGCGATTAAAATGAATATTTCATTATATTTGTTTTGTAAATGGTAGGACTAAAGTTCAAATTGTTAAAGGGTCGCTGCACTTACATTAACACACTGATTTTCTCACTTATTGTTACTGGTATCCATGCAGATAGTTTTGGTTTTATTTGCCTATTTTTTGATATATAGACTTAAAATTCCTGCTGCTACCCCAAGACAATGGAGGTAAATTACAATAGTTTGGCAGATGGTTTTATCCAATGCATATACAAATGCATACACTAATGTTGGGAGCAATTTGGGATTCAGTCTTTGCTTAAGGACAATCTGACATGTGGACAGGAGAAACCTCAGATCAAACCTCCAACCCTACAATTCATGACCAACCCGCTCTACCACATAAGCTACAGCCAACAAAAATACTACATTAGGAATTGATAATCATTATTTCAAAAGTATTACAGGATTTAAATACTATCGCTACTCTAAATAATCGACACACTTTTGCTTTTGCAACTACTTTCTAACAAACAGTCGATATGAAAACTGTTCACAAGTGTGCAGGTTATCCAGAGTAATACGAGGACTGTTTCTAGAAAGGGAGGTTACTGTTGAATTGGTTAAATGTCATTTTTATATTCTCCGAGCACCACAAACAAAATGCAGCTCACCTCAGTTGTACCTGGGTGGTGATACCACTAGAAGC